CTCAGGAATGAGGAATCCCAAAGGAAACAAGATGCCAAAATGGTGATTTTAATGCATTTTCTTAAGTGTTACTATTACCGTTGCTTTTGCTCATTTTATTATTATAACTGCTTATATAATTGTATCAAATATTTTTTTCGTAACTGTATGAAGCCTGTAAATAAAATGAACTTCTCAAACATTATAACCTCTGTATATGCTTCTTAAAAATAAAGATTTAGATTTTTTATATAACAAACTTATGGGGGAATTGCACAAGTGTCTGTTAAATCAGGATAATGTTTAAAAATCACAGAAAAAGCACAAAAGTGCACTCCAATCTACACTTAACCCTTTCAGGGTCCCCAGGCCCTCTCCCAGAGCCCAAATTTCCAAAAAAAAAAAAAAAAAAAAATTACTTTTTCTTATGAGAAGATAGAGAATCTTTTCCCAATCATAATGACATCAAAAGTATGAAACTTGATGGAAAACTTACGGAATTATGCTCTCGCAAAGTTAGCGGTCTCGACGATGTTTAAGCATTGGCGATTTTGCCTTTTTGAGCCCTATTTTCGACCAATTCCAGTGTACTAGTCGACAAAAACCATAACTATTTCGCTAGAACTCCATTTTTTCTATCAAATGAGTACAAGAAATCACCCATTTACCAATTTCAACTATCCAATACAGTGGTCAGAATTTAGCAATTTTGCCAAATTCACACAAATTTCAAAAGATGCCAATTTCCAAATAGGGTCCAGAATAAACAAGAAAGATATTCCTGGCACTAAAATAACATTTCCTCTGTTCATTAGTCACATCTCCATGCCCCTCTTACATTCTTTTTCTTTCCACTTTGAATTTTTATTCTCACAAAAAAATAGAAGATTTACTGTTATGCAGACTACTGCATTAGTGTAGAAATGGTATAAATAATATCAGCGCACTTGTGAAAGAAATAAACTCACCGTTGCGGTATTGGCCTTTAGATGTTTTGTTTACTTTTGAACTTTGGAAAAAGTCGAACTTTTGCTATTTTGGGCTCAATTTAAAGGTACTTTTCATTGAAAAAACCAGTCAAAATCTTTCAATTTCTGAATATGTCTTCCATTCTTTAAAAGAGACCGGGAAAACTAGAATAAACAATAAATCCCTACGAAAATACGTGCAAAGTTTGTTTTAATCCAAAAACCGGTCAAAGTTTTTTTTTTCATTAGCACTGTGTGCTGAGGATTTTTTTAAACTGTACACTGACCACATAAACCCATTCTTTATATGTAGGCCTACCAAACTTTCTCTCATAGTTTTGGGGGGGCACTAATTTTAAGGTCTAGTCGTAAAAAACCCCCTGGTGCTAACCCGTACTGTCGTCCAAAAACCCTGAAAGGTTAAATAGTGTATAACTGTAGACTAGTCACTGATGCCAATTCACTCGCATATTATTACATTCACGGGGAGCCCCAAAAACCCATAGGGTCATAATTTTACCTGGGGAAGGGGAAGGCTTCAGAAAATTTCCAAAATTGGAGCAAAGTTTGGGGTGGGAAACCCCAAAAAACTACTTTTTAAAGCTAACTCCCTCGATATTTTGGATGGAAAATTTTTGGGGTTAGACATGAGCATGGTGGAAAAGTAAAACTTGCCCGCATTCGTCGAAAATAGTGACTTTTAGGTGTCTCCTAGGGTGGTTTTTATTAGGTTTCTAGTATAATTTATAACATGGAAGAAAACTAGTAACAGGAGGGCCCCCCTATGGCGGGTTTGGGGCCAGGCTACCGCCCTAAAGGGAAACCGCCGTAAAGGGAACACCCTTTTTTTTTACTTACAAATGCATACAAAAGCTAGATAACAGTTTCACTAAACATTATTTTGTTAGCAAAAAAACCCATCAAAAAAAAATAAAAAAGTACAATACAACATAGTGCACTCATACTTTCCTTAAATATTTTTAAATTTAATCTAGGGTGAACAATTTGTTTTATTTTAAGAAACAAGTGTGGTATGTATGGTAGTCCCAGGCTACCATACCAGGCCCCCCCCACCCACACATACTTTCTATGATATTTAGCATCCCAAGCGATAAAATGTATAAAGTTCATCATTATTACTTAAAAATATGGGTGGATGAGAGTTTTTTTTAAAAAACAATGGGTTTTTTGGTAGTCAGCCAGGCTACCATACCAGAGAGAAAGAATGAGTGCTGAGAGAGGCAGAGAGTTTGAAACAACCAGGCAAAGGGAAAGTTTTGTAAACAGTGCAATCGGGTTTGTGTACAAGTTAATTGTGTAAAAGTTGTCTACATTGATACGGTAGAATTAAAAAAAAAAAACACCCCCCTTTCTCAGTCTTTTTTTGGAGAAGAAATGGGATCCTTTTTTAGTGAAGGCAAGGAAGAAAGTCACTCTGACTTTTTTGGGGTTTCCTGGGTTTCCCCTTACACATATGTTGGGTTATGTTTTTTTTATGTTCGTGTTATTAATAATTTTAAAAAAAAAATACACGGATGGTTTTAATAAAATGTTTATTAACGTAAATAAAAATTTTAAAAGGATACACCGAGCTCGACAGCGTACACAAACAAACTGAAAGGGGTTGGGGACGATCACCGGTCGGCGAAATGGGGTTTTAAAATACTGCCCGTTTTAGTTTCATGTACATTTTTAGAGTTTTGTGAAACTTTTACCTTATAAAATTTTTTTATTTTATAATAATTAATCACGAAACAAATACTCTTAACTGTCGTTTTGTACGAAATTTAGCTATAAGTGAAGGCTCGAAAGGAAAATATTTTTTTTTTTTAAATTTTTCCCTATAACAGGGCGGGGTAAGAAAACGTAAATTCTCCGACACTTTCTACAAACCTTTGGGAACATCCATATATATTTGTAAAATTTTTTACTGTGGGTGCTGTATCATGGTTGTGTGTTTAAAAAGTGTTTTTTAATTTTGAAAAAAAAAATCATAGATAGATTAAGGAAAAAGTCTATATTAACTTTAAAATCGACATTTAAACGCCCAAAATTAAATTTTTTTTTTTTATTATTATTTTTATTATTTTATTATTATTAGATTATTTTTATTGCTCAAGAGTTTGAGGATTTTTGGTGGGGGGTTACCTACACCAACAGTGGGTTTTAATTTTTTAGGACAGGGGTTTCACAAATTTAAATTTTCAAGTACAATACTATAAAATATACAATAAAATTTAAAAAAATTGAAATTTTGGAAGTTTCCCGCATAAAAAGGAATGTGTGGGGGAAAGGGAAAAAAAACTCGGGGGGGGCACTGGACCCATTTAGAAAAACAGGGGGGGGGCCTTAGCGAGTTTTTGGGCTTTTAAATTTAAATGTCCGTTAGCGGAATGCCGAAAACGAAACCGTAAGTGGGGGCCCTGCGTATTAAATTTTTGCCGTTTTCTGGGAAGGGTTGGGGCTTCCCCACCCCCCGAATGTTTTTTTTTTCTAGGTCTTCAAATTTTTGGGTGGCCTAATGCTGAAACAATTTGTTTTTAATTTTTTTAATCGAAGTAGGGGACAACTTTGTTTTTTTTGGGTTAATGCAGAGAAAATGTTGCTTTTTTGAGTGTGTTTTTAATTTAATTTTTGTTTAATTTTATTAAAATGGGCCAAAAAAGCCAAATTTGTGCACATTATGGTAGTTGAAACAAGTGGTTTTCGCGCTCCCAATCGTTTAAAATGGAAGGGAAGCTAAGAAATCTGGGGGAATTGGGTCAAATGATTCCCGGAAGGGCTTAACCCTTTGAGTGGGCCCTCAATAGAATTGTATAATTTTATGCCGGGGTCCCTTTTTTGCACTATGTCATGGGTCAGCTCACTCAAATTAGTGTGAGTCTAAATTTTGGCCCAGATGTAAAGATTTTGGGGTATGCAACGAGGTGCATGGTATAAAAAAAAACTGTCCCCCCATGGTGCATATAGGGAAAAGCAAACCTGGGAAAATTTTGATGTGTTTTTTTGGTTTTTTTGGTTTTCTTGGTTTCCTTTTATGGAAAAGATATATTAATGAAATAGGATGAATTTGGGTTGGGTTCAGGACTGGAAGTCGTTGCAAATTAAGCTCAAATAAGGAAAAATATTTGATTTTTACCAATTTTCCCAAGGATGGATAAGGCCCCCTTATCCATCCTTATGTCTGATTCAATTATTAGGACACCAAAAACCATGACCAATCATTCCTAGTTATACTTCATCTGAGAAATAGGGTAAAACTTCTGTTTTTGTGATTATCAGTTCAAAATGGAAGGCAAGTGGAGGATGTGATTAATGAACAGAAAAAATGTTTTAATGCCTGGAATGTCTACATTCTTCATATTTTGGACTATTTTTAAATTTGTATTTTTTAATTTTGTGTAAATTGGCCAAATTACCAACTTCTGTGAACATTATAGTGTAGCTGAACAAACAGTTTCTTGTGCTCAGTCGATAGAATGGAAGGCATACTAGCAAAATTGCTAAGAATTCTGTCAAATGGAGTAATAGAATTGGCTTAAAATAGGACTCTAAGTGGGCAAAAACACTAATTTAAAAATTGCATCCAAACCACTAACTTTGCACCTGCACAATTCTGTAAGTGTTCCACTAACTGCGCCTGCATAATTCTGTAAGTCTTCCATCAAATTTCATACTTTTGGTATTATTACCTTCTGAAGATTCTCTACCATTTCAGAGCATTTAAAAAAAAAATGGACACTGAGAGCAATATTAATTTTAGGGGTCTGGTCAGTGAAAGGGTTAAAATAGGACTCAATGGGAAAAATTGCCAGTATGTAAATTGCACCAAGGATGCTAATTTTGAGCCCACATAATACCTTAAGTTTTCCATCGGATTTCACACTTTTGGTGTTAGTATCTCAAGAAAAATATTCTCTGCCATTTCAGAAGATAAAATCATTATTTATTTTTTTTTTTTTTTTGAAAAATCGTGACATTGTCAGCACTTTTAATTTCAGGGGTTTACAACAGGAGAGGGTTAACAAGTGAAACAAAGTATCAAGGACATACTGGATTAGTCTCAAGACTTGGAGAATGGCTAACTTGCCACCAGTCATTTGTCCATTCCCAAACATTGCCCAGCATATTATACAAGCCGTATCCATTGGGAGGGAAAGAAGTAACTGGACATCGGCCTGCCCATCCATCAAGTCCCGTATCTTCCTTAGGAAAGGTTCCCTGCCATATGTTTGCCCTGGAAGCAAAATAATAATCAATTAGTTTTAAGAATAATCATATGATTAGTAAACATAGCTATAAATATATGTTTTAATATTAAATATCTAATAAAAATGAGATGAAAGGATGGTGGTGAAGGAAATGATCAAGGAAAGGTTGGAAGGAGGGTGAGAGAGAGTAGTAGTAGTAGTAGTAGTAGGGGTTTAACACCAGCATGTTAAACCTAAGTGAGAGTAGACAAGTGGTTTGTAAATTTTGATGTGCTCTTGGAGTGTGAGCACTGTAATACATATGTATTTAATTCTGGAAAAACCAGTCAGTCAAACCCGTCAATACTGACAAGCTCATCTTCATGTTGTTCAGAAATAAAGCTAAAAATATTCAATTTAACATAACAATAAATAATTTACCCAAAGAAAGATGAGATGTTGGAAAATTCTTAGGTACAGACCCTGACAGCAACCTGAAATTAAACTTATACATCCAACACATATATAAGAAAATTTTCAAAACTGAAGACATCCTATCACAAAATACTCTATATTCCATAAACAATATAACTCACTCTGTACTTTTCTTTAATCTGTCCCTACCTCACTTCATGATATAATTATCTGGAATTCTACAATAGCAAATCACCTAAAAGTTACTGCTACCCAACAGAAATGAGCTATTATAATAATCTCTCAGTCAGATTCCAGATAACACATGCCTCCACTTTTCAAGTCATAATTTATTCAACATATAAAACATTCACATCCACTGATGTATGTTTTACATATCTAGGACTCTTAGTACAAACTTCAGCACAATGCTCCAACTGTTCAGTAAGAGCTGCAACAGAACACAATAGAAGGATTATGTGCCTGTCTCTCTGATATACTACATCTAGGAATTCCTTGAAAGTAAAGGGCCCTAAAATTTGGAACTTCCTACTAGAAGGATGCAAAAAGTTTACTATCAGATGCCTGTTTAAAAAATAAAGTTAAAAAGCACCACCTTAATCTGACCTAAATTCTGCATAAATTATGTTGTTCATTTTTTTTTAAGATGTTGGCCATTTCCCACTGAGGCAGGGTGACCTATAAAGAAAGAAAAACCCAAAGAGAAAGAAAAAAACTTTCATCATCATTCAACACTTCATCATCACTCCTACATAATCCCTGTCTTTGCAGAGGCACTCAGATATGACAGTTTAGATGTCCCTCCAAACTGCCAATGTCCCAAACCCCTCCCATTTCCAGGACTCAAGTCTAGCTAACTGGTTTCCCTGAATCCCTTCACAAAATATTACCCTGCACATACTCCAACATCTTGTCAGGTCCCAAAAACCATTCGTCTCCATTCACTCTCTAACATGCTCACATATGCTTGCTGGAAGTCCAAGCCCCTCAACCACAAAACCTCCTTTACCCCTCTCCCTCCAACCTTTTCGAGGACAACACCTACCCCACCTTCCTTCCCTTACGGATTTATACACTCTCCAAGTCATTCTACTTCGTTCCATTCTCTCTCAATGACCAAACCACCTCAACATATATTGTACGTATCTATAAATACTAACCTATTTATCTAAACCAAATTAGCTTTAATAGTCATGTTCTCCATACCACCAATATATTTCAACATATGTCATGGCCAAAACTATGTTCTATCTCAGTAGTCACTACTACATTATAGTCATTACTACATTATATAAAATGTAAACCATAGTGTCAAGTGAACTAACCTAATTAAGTACTCAGTATTTTTTAATTTTAAGGCTGAAGAATTGAGACTGTAGAAATGGGTAAGGAGAGTAGAAGTTTGAGGTAATCAGTCCTTCAACCTGGAATCGATGTGTTCAGTCCATCACTCTTGTAGGAAGTGCAGCACAGGGCCAGAGAGGTGGCTTATATACTGCACTTCCTACAAGAGTGATGGACTGAACACATCGATTCCAGGTTGAGGGACTGATTACCTCAAACTTCTACTCTCCTTACCCATTTCTACTTTGTATTGGACTGATGAAGCCACTGTGTGGCGAAACGTTTCTTCAATAAAGATTCCCATGTGTTGCATAAGTGTCTCAATTCTTCAATTTTAAGGCTGCCCAAAATGATCTGCATAATCAAGGGCTTTCCACAGAGTCTGAAAAATATGCTGATTATTCCTTTTTCAAACACAGTATGTGCCATACTTTATGAAAATAAGGATTCTCACTGTCATATACTCTTTCTTTATATTATTTGTGAGGAATTTGACAAGTGCAACATCTGGGTATCTTTATTTGAAGGCATTTCACCAACTAGTTATTTTACCAATTCAATACAGAGATGATACATGAAGATAACAGATGAAGTAATTAGTCCCTCAGCCTAGAAGCCAGTACATGTACTTAGAACCTTAGTCTTGGTGAATCTGAAGCATAAGCAGGACTCATAAATAATCTTATATACTTCCCTTTTGGAATGTGAGCAGGGTAATATTTTGTGAAGGGATTCAGGGAAACTGGTTAGCCGGACTTGAGTCCTGGAAATGGGAAGTGCAATGCCTTCACTTTAAAGGAGGGGTTTGGGATATTGGCAGTTTGGAGGTTGACTTTTAAACTGTCGTATCTGAGCGCTTCTGCAAAGAGAGTATGTATGAGTGAGGTGAAAGTGTTGAATGATTTCCTTTCTTTCTGGGTCACCCTGCCTCAGTGGGAGATGACCGACGTGTTGAAAAAAAAAAAACTTTCCTTTATGGGAAATAGGTCATGCCCAAGGCTTGGAAACACAAATTTACACTTGACAAGGAGACCTCAACATGCCTCATTCAAAAAGCAAATGACACCTTAATATTCAAAATCTACAGAAAGCCTGCAAACAAAAATGACCTCGCACTTTCACTTCAATCAAGATGCTAAACCTAAACATGGCATAACTATTTGCTTTTTCCTGAGTGTATTGCATCTGCAGCCCTGAGTTTTCAGACAATGAATGCTCCTATATATGCCAAACCTTCACCAAGCTACACTTTCCTTCCTTCTTCATCAAAGCCTACCAGAAATGAGCCTTACACAACAATTTTCCAGGCATTGACACCACAATGAGCACACCAAAATTGCCCTGAACCTCTACAAAGCACTTGCATAAAGCAACACAAGAGTCAACGTACCAACCAGCACAGCCAAAGAATTCACCAGGACCAAAGTGGAGAACCTTGAAGAAGTCAATGCAGGAGTTTACATCATTCAGTGCAGAGGAAAAACAGCAAGAAACCTATGGACAAGTCTCAACAAACACATCTACTCATGCAGAGGCAACAACCTGAACAATGCATGTGTACAACACAAACACTGTCAGCCTCTTGATGAAATGGACGAACACTCACTCACTGATTATGGAACCAGATAACTGCAAATGAAAATACCAAGGAACAAAATTCATTTCCATTTCAGACACAGTTACACAGAATAAAGGACACTTTATCATCTTTGAAACATCAGCAAAAATTTACCTTAAAACAAACAAACAAAACAACTGTTGGCATTCTATGACAAAGTAACAGATGTGAGACGAGAGAGAGAGAGAGAGGGTTAAGTGAATTGTATTTTCTTATACTGCAAGAAGGCATTTAATAATGCACCCACATGAGACTGGGACAATAACTTGAGAAGGCAGAAGTAACTGGGAACATACTCCAGCAGCTCAAGGAGCATCTTACAGAAAAAAGATGTCAGAATGAGGAAGAGCACCAAGCAGTGTACCACAAGGATCAGTATTAGGACCAGTACTGTTTCTGGCTTGTGAACAAAATAACAGATAGGAATTGAGTCAGATGTATCTATTCGCTGAGGCAGTAAAACTAATGAGGAAAATACAAACGGATGAGGACAATGAAAGGCTGCAAAAAGGATTTGTAGATGAATGGTTCAGAGAACCGACATGTTGATAAATTAGACACATGTGCAACTCTTGGGTATCTTTATTGAGGAAACGTTTCCTCAATAAAGATACCCAAGAGTTGCACATGTGTCTAATTTATCAAAAAGGATTTGGACAAACTGAAGAGGTGGTCAGATAACTGGTTACTTGAATTCAACCCCAGCAAGTGCAAGGTTATGAAGAATGGGGGAATGGGCCAGAAATTTGTACACAGAATATAGACTCAGGGGTAGAGATTGCAGACCTGAGAATCAGTAAAATGCCTATAATACTGCCAGAGGCTCATACCAACTGGATAACCTCTGCAGACAATGCTTGCCTGGCAAATCTGACAGTGGACTTCTGGAATCTCAACTCCTGGTGCTTAACACAGCATATGTCAGACCCATCTTTGAGTATACAGCACCAGTATGGAACCCACAACTGAGGAAGCATGCTAAGGAACTGGAGAAAGTGCAGAAGTATGGAATGAGACTAGTTCCAGAGCTCCAGAGTTCTAGAGCAGTAAGGTTTTTACTGATACAATGTTTCATCCACAAGCAGGCTTTAACAAATACCTGATAAAGCCTACTTGTGGGTGAAACACTGTACCAATAACACTTCATTGCATGAAGTGTCTACTTACCATCTGACTGTGAAGATGGACATATTACATGCTCCTGTAATGGCACTTTCTTTACATTTTTTACTGGTAGCAGAAATGGTATACAATACTGACACACTGATGAATAAGACACGTATGCAACACCTGGGTATCTTTATTTCAACACCCTGAGATAACCTCTATACTGAACTGACAAAGCCACTGGTTGGCAAAACTTCTACAGAATAAAGGTGTCCAGGTGTGCACATGCGTCTTATTCATCAATTTATATTTCTCACAACTTGAACTTCCATTTGTCTATAAATAAATTTATATCACAGGTCTTTCCGTATGCTAATTGTTTCCATATATGAATCTATAAACATTATCTTTCGGTTCGCAGCAGGATTCGAACCTGCAAAACTCAGCATCAGAATACACATTACTTTATCCACACAGCCAGTCTGGCTGTGTGGATAAACAGCCAGTCTGGATGTGTGGATAAAGTACTGTGCACTCTGAAGC